GAGTTCGCCATGAAATGAAGAGACACAAATTTTAAAATGACAACTTCTATTAAATTAGCAAAAAACAATTTGACAGAGGCTTTCTAAAGCCCATAGTGACCCACATTGCATTCTAGTTCCAAACTAATATGTGCCTTTGGGGAAGCGAGCTGTCCCTCCCGATCTGGAGTCTGGCTCTGTGGGTGACCCACCCACGCCAGCAAAGCACTGAGGCCGCAGCTGCACACAGACACCACTCGATGGGCCTGGTCTCCACCCCAGGGTTCTCCAAGGCCTTCTTCTCACATCTGCCCTCTGCCTCGATTCCCAGAGTGTCCTCAGCAGTTCAGGCTGAAACTCCCTAGGCACGTCCCATTTCAGCCTACCGTGGCACATCTCAGAGCCAAAACGTCTCATGAACACCCTTGAGTGGTACCAGAACTTGCCACTCCAACGTGCGCCTCTTCATTGATAGATTATTGTGAGTTAGAGGCCATTGAGAACCAGTAAATGCAGAAAAGTTTCTATAAACAGGGTACAAATTCACGTTTTCCATTTTTTGTTTAATATTTTTCTAGACGGAATGTGCACTTACTAGAGAAAGACAGAGATAGAGACAGAGAACAGGAGAAGCGCCCCTGGGGCATGGTCACCCTTCCACCACTTCCCGTCCTCCCTTCCTTCTGAGACTTCAGGTACACGTGCCCAGGGTGTTTTTCAAGCCACATCCGGGACTTGAACCATCTGGTCTGTCATGTGAGATCCACCCACCTTAACCACCACGCCACAGGCTGGACCATATTTTCTTTTTGTAAAGGACATTTCTATTTTGTAGAAATGTCTCTCTTGTAACGAAAAGTAGAGAACAAAGTGTAAAAAGTTCCCAAGTGCCGTAAGGATTGGAAAGGGTCAACTCAATGTCTGTCTCCCTAGCTCTGGGCTGATGCTGGGTCTCACCGATGCCTTAGTGGGGGAGCTCTTTAAATCTCCCAGGTGCTTCAGACTCTCCTTCTCCTCCTCCCTTTTCTTCTGGTGCTAGCTGGCCCCTGCTGAGCCCACTGCAGATGGGTTTTCTAAGTCTACCTACAGACACAAGCTTGAGACCTCTTACTGACTCTAAGATCCTAACAATACCCACAGAGGGGGCAGATCACAGTGGCCAGATGTGACAGCTCCAAGTATCAGTGAAAACATCTGGTGATGTGAAAGACCAACGGGCACCGTCCACGGACCAGCCCAGCCCCTGGCCTCAAGTCCCAGGAGCAGCTCCTGGTCCCCAGCCTTCAGGGCCAACCCAGCTTCCACATCCCCCTTTCCTCTCTTTGGAAAGTGCGTAAATTCTTTCCTTCCCACTCTCTGAGCCTGAGAATTCTATCACAGCCTGCAGCCACCCTAACATGACACCGAGATCACCTCACAGAGAACTCTGGCCACCTCTAAGGAGGGAGAAGTCACGCACACCCGCATAGCCCACTCGCTAAACGATCCTGTCATCATGCTTGTCCTGGCCATCTCCACACCCCGTCCCTGGAGCTAGTGTGGGATGAGCCTGGAGCCCACATGCCCCTTGAGCCCCTCACTCCGGGCACTCGCCGTGCTGCATCCTGACGCACATGTGCGTGTGTTCTCTTGTTAATCTTATTACAGCCCTTAGCCAGGAATTGGGAAGGATAGGAGAGAAAGGTCTTTTTATTTCCCCAATATTGTCTTTATGCCCCCCTCCCATGAACCCATAAAGTGTTGGGGGCTGGGGCGGGAGAGGGAGGAAGAGGGGGGGAAAGGAAGTGAACACATGTGTACCGAAGGCCATTGGAGCGCTGGGACCCTACAGCCGGAACGCTTGCTGCTAATTCTAATCCTAGTATTTCCAATCCAGTGAGGGCTTGGGGGACTGCAAGAGTGAAGAGTTTAATACTGCTGATAATAAATGATAGGAACTAAACGTAGAAAATAAAATGGTGATTTGAACCCTGCTGACGAGCAACGACAGGAACTGAAGGGTGCCAGGAGAGGAAAGGGTGAGGAGCCAGTGATTGCTTTTAGCCCAAGTTCGTTTGTGAAGATCAAAAAGCAGACAGAAAACGGTACTCACCACGTGTTGGAG